GCATACACAAGCAAGCGCTAGATTCAGTTCGTCAGCTTTTTAATGATGTTGTCCCCTCTTAACATGTTTTTAAGTATGCCCAGAGCTTGGAAAAGCCACTGCTGAATTTTAGAGTGGGTCTCACAGAGCTAGTAAAAAATGCAATAGTGTTGTTTGTTTATGACTCTGAAACTAACTCTGTTTATGTTGTCTGGCAATTTCCATGCAAAGGAAAAGAAATTGAGGGAGCTGAGCTGGCTTTTGAGAAGAGCTTGTATAGGATATCAAGGGTGTCAGGAGGGCAGAGCAGAGTTTTAGGTAGAAAAGTAGCTTTACTGTTCCAGCAACAAGCTCTGATCAAGTGCTTTAAGAAGATAGCCTCATTATACTGTTCAGGTTTCTGTCGGGTATGCCTTGCACTAAGGCTTACCAACAAATCATGAATTTAAATGCTCAGAAAGGCAGCTGTCAAGATGGGAACATGAAAATGTGTGTCCCAAGTGACATTTTGGTAGCATGTTCAGTCCTACATTCCTGTGATCGGGGTTTTGTTGAGCAGACTGGGCAGTAAGTTAACGTGTGCCTGCAAGGGCACTACAATTCTCTGAAAGGATAGGCTAGTTTGTTGTTTAATTATAGATGTGCTTTTTATTCTTATTGGTTCCTCTTGTACATGTTGTGTCATAGACATTGGTGCGTGAGTGTCTTGGCAATGCTCTCTTCAGTTGATAGTTGGCACCCATTGTGTGGTTTTGATGGGAGTCTGATGGGAGACTTTAATGCAAAAGTAGGGAAGAAGCAGGCTGGAGACCAGGCAGTGGGAGATAATGGCATCGGTACTAGAAATGCCAGAGGAGAGCTACTAGTAGAATTTGCAGAACGCAATAATTTACAGATTTTGAATACCTTCTACCGAAAATGAGGAAACCGTAAGTGGACATGGAGGAGCCCTAATGGCGAAAATAAGAACGAAATAGACTTTATAATGAGTGCACACCCAGGCATCGTGCAGGATGTGGAAGTGGTTGGCAAAGTACGATACAGTGACCATAGAATAGTACGGTCTCGTATTCGCCTTGGCTTGAAGAAGGAACGACAGAAACTGATATGCAATCAATGAGCTAGCACTGAGAGGAAAGTACAGGTACTCGGCTCTTATTGAGAAAACCAACCTGAGCGTAGATATAATGAATGATAATATGACGAGTATCATTACGGAGTGTGCAGGGGAAGTTGGAGGCACGGTAGTTAGACAGGACACTGGCAAGCTTTCCCAGGAAGCGAAAAATCTCATCAAGAAACATCAAAGCATGAAAGTCTCAAGTACAGCAGACAAAATAGAACTGGTAGAGCTTTCGAAGTTGATTAATAAGCATAAGGTATCCGATGTAAGAAAGTATAACATGGAGAGAATTGAACACGCTCTGAAAAATGGAGGAAGCGTCATAGCAGTGACGAGGAAACATGGGATAGGCGAAAATCGGATGTATGCACTAAGGGACAAAGAAGGCAAAATAACTACCAATGTGAATAGGATAGGTAAAATAGCGGAGGAGGTTTACAGAGATCTGTACAGTAGCCGGGACAACCACGACCTTAATACTATAAGAACTAGCAGTAACCCTGATGACATCCCACCAGTAATGATAGAAGTCAGAAAAGCCTTGGAGAGCATGCAAAGAGGCAAAGCTGCTGGTGAGGATCAGGTAACATCAGATCTGCTGAAAAATGGAGGACAGATTGTGTTAGAAAAACTAGCCACCCTGTTTATGAGGTGTCTCTTTACGGGAAGAGTACCAGAGTCTTGGAAGAATGCTAACATCATCCTAACACATAAGAAAAGAGATGACAAGGACTTGAAAAATTACAGGCCGATCAGCTTGCTCTCCATAGTATACAAGCTATTTACAAAGGTAATTGCTAACAGAGTTAAGAAAACATTAGAATTCAATCAACCAAAGGAACAAGCAGGATTTCGAACAGGCTATTCAACAATCGACCACATTCATACTATCAATCAGGTAATAGAGAAATGCTCAGAATATAACCAACCACTATACATAGCCTTCATAGATTACGACAAGGCGTTTGATTCAGTAGAAATATCAGCAGTGATGCAGACACTGCGGAAACAGGGCATCGATGAAGCATATATAAACATCCTGGAAGAAATATGCAGGGGATCAACTGCTGCTATAGTACTCCATAATGAAAGCAACCGAATACTAATCAAGAAGGATGCCAGGCACTGAGATACAATCTCCCCAATGCTGTTTACCGCGTGTTTACAGGAGGTTTTCAGAGGCCTAAAATGGGAACAGTTAGCCATAAGAGTTAATGGAGAGTACCTTAGTAACCTACGCTTCGCCGATGACATTGCACTGTTGAGTAACTCGGGGGCCGAATTGCAACTCATGATTACGGTGTTAGACTAGGAGAGCAGAAAGGTGGGTCTTAAAATTAATCTGCAGAAAACGAAAGTAATGTACAACAACCTCGGAAGAGAGCAGCGCTTCGAGATAGGCAATAGTCCACTTCAAGTTTTAAAAGACTATGTCTACTTAGGATAGGTAATACCCGCAGAGCCGAACCATGAGATTGAAGTAACTAGGAGAATAAGAATCGGGAGGAGCACATTTGGCAAGCACTTTCAAATTATGACAGGTAGATTGCCACTATCCCTCAAGAGGAAGGTATATAACAGCTCTATCTTGTGGATACTTAGCCATGGAGCAGAAACCGGGAGACTTACAAAGAGGGTTCAGCTTAAATTGAGGACAACGCAGCGAGCGATGGAAAAAAAATTGGTAGGTGTAACCTAAAGAGACAAGAAGCGAGCAGAGTGGATTAGGGAACAAACAGGGGTTAAGGATATCATAGTTGAAATCAGGAAGAGGAAATGGACATGGGCCGGGCATGTAGCGCGTAGACAGGATAACCGCTGGTCATTAAGGGTAACTAACTGGATTCTCAGAGAAGGCAAGCGGGTTAGGGGGAGACAGGTTAGGTGGGCAGATGAGATTAAGAAGTTTACGGGTATAAATTGGCAGCAGCAAGCACAGGACCGAGATAACCGATGGAACATGGGAGAGGCCTTTGTCCTGCAGTGGAGGTGGTCAGGCTGATGATGATGATGTGTGGTTTTGCCATCTCTGTTCTATTTTCTGCAATGTCCTCTACTTGAGGAATGACATAAAATTGCCAAGCTTTCGAGGCAATTTGAAACAAAAAGAAGTGTGTTCACTAGAAGTGTATATTTTATTGTCAGCTTGAGTGAGGATGTGACCGAGAGGCTAATGTCCTTTGAATTAAATTTAGAAGGCATAAGCTGTCATATGGTCCCTTTTGTAACCAAGTCCTAAGAAGTGTACTTAAAGTGATACTGAACAAAAGTTGCACTAACTGACAAAAACGTCAAAGTTCTGCTTGGAAGACACCACTGTTCCGATAAACAGTGTTCAGTTCACATATTTTTGAACAGTTGGCTGTATTTTTGGAGGACTGTCAGCGCATGGCGGCTGCACACGAGTGCGAGCGGGGATATCAAATTCTCCACGTCTTTCTGTCCCCCTTTTCCTTCTCTTTACCTCCCCTTTCATTCCACTTTCCCCGTTACACACCGTGTTGACGCTTTACCCCAGTTGGCAGTATTATTCGCTGCCATAGTTGGAATGACTGTTACAGGCGAGTGTAATGCCACCAAATCTCCAGGGTTACCAGATTGGGCTATTAATAGCCCAATTTGGCTATTTTATTTTCGAGTTGGCATCATATTTTTCTCTTTGGCTATATGGATATTTTTGGGCTACATTTCTGTCGACTCAGCAATAAATTTCGAGTGTTTACACGAAGGCAACGGCGAGCCTAAAACCGCTGCATTTGGGCGTGGTACTTCACAAATTTTTAGGGACATCGAAACTAGAATGGCGAGAAGGGGGGCTATTCGAGCCACCCTATCGGCACCTCGCCAGGTTGATTTTTGAAACAGCAGTAGGGCGAAAAACTGCACAAGTGCGGGGAAAATTCATGTTCACTTTGCGTAGAGGGGGGGGGGGGGGGGCTCTGTTTTGCTTCACGTGCTTTACTCTCCTTTGAAGACGCTGTGTCACTGTTAAATTTTGGTGCATTTATTCGTGCTTCTCATGTGGTGATGGGTGAGTTTTAAGTCTCAGCTTGAGGACATTACTTTGCACGCCTCAATTGTCATGTCGCAGCTAAGTGCTGTATTGCAGTCTCTCTCCTTGCTATGGAATAAATTGTGCAAGCTCGGCATCTGGCTTTTCATCGTCGCAGTGGTGCAAGACACTTACCAGACAGGCCATATTCATGGGGAAAGGTCCACAAGAGCTCATTAATCATGGAGCTTCACCTTTCGCTACTAAGTTACATGTGATCAGTCTTCATTAACATTAACTCTTGCATATGATGTACACACTAAAGGTCTTCTGTACTGAATTTTTTGCAATATCTGCATGTAAATAAACTTTCAGTGTACATTGTTTTCCGGGGAAAGTTTTGTTTTTAGGCAATAAACTTTTTTGATATTCCACATAAGCAAACCCCCCTATTGTGGATAACAAAAACAAAAATACATTACATGATACTATTTTACTCATAGGGCAGCAAAAAAAAAAAAAGCAAAAGCACTATTTAGGCTGCCAGTTACTAAGCGCCCTACTTTGCTTATTTACAAACTAATAGGCGGAAAGTTTTATGCAAAAGTAATCCTATAAGTACACAGAATTCCCACAAGAACGACTGATTTGGGCTATTTTAGAGTTACTTCAAGTTTGTTCATTCCGCTACGTTAGGGTTATTGCGACGTCGAATTTGGCTGTTTGAGGTTTTCACCATCTAGTAACCCTGCAAACGTGACCTCGTTTAGTTCTTGGCACGGCTGTTATATGTAGCGGTTTGTGCAAAACTCATTAAATTCATCATTCAATTACAGAAATGACTACATATATTAGAAACATTAATTAGGCCTGAAAATATGCATACACACATGAGCTGTCAGCGTATCAAACGTTCCAATGATTTGTTTATTATTAGTGCTTTATACACAGGCAACACACAACAGCAAGTACAATGCATACTGCTAACCAATAGATCAAGTATCACGTCACTAAATTACAAATTTCTCAAAAAGCACGCCAAACACTGGTTCCAGTGTTAGAAATGTTAAGCATCAGTGGCGTATGACGGTCGACACCAATGTCCGACTGGAAGCGAGCACATGCTACACGCACACTGAATGTCGACTACACCGCAACGTAACCACAATATGATATTTCACGCACGATAACAAAGTGAACACATCACAATTTACCATGGGAACGCATCAATGCATTACATGAGCGAACAAGGATGAGGCCAGTAGCGGCAGCCAGCACAATCAATTTCTGCGAGAAGCGAACGAATGATAAGAATTCATTGAATGGAAAGTTCATGTGTGTGTCCCAAAGCTCTCGTAATGCCAGTTTTAAACCCGAGCGTACTCCTCTTGAATCACTTGAGCACATTCCTCCATCAACTCTTTGTAGTCGTCGTGCTCTTTCACCATGCACGCAATCACCATTCTTTTCTTTCCAAGCGCTGTACCCAGATCTTGCCGTGACGGCATCCAGATGTAAGGCAGGCCTTTCTCTTCACAAACGGCAGGGATGTGACAGCTTATGTCGATCGGGAACACATCTCCCGCCAACAGCACCACGCCGGTTTGGCCCTTGCGGATCATGGTTTGCACTACTTTTAATCCACAATAAACATGACCTTTGTGCTTCGAAGCCTTCTTAGCCAGCTTGAACAACTTTTTTGTGAACTTCTTCGAGGCCATTGGCTTTGAGATGGGATTGACAAAGGCCAACTTTTCTTCGTAAGTCAGGGAATCCACATCACCATTTTCGTGGGCACGTGCGGAGCCATCCATGCTGTCTCGCGCAGCGTGCGCAGCGTCATCATCTACTTTCGCCTTCTTCGCTTTCTTCGTGCCACGACCACTGAAGCTGTCCTCATCGTAAGTATCGTTCGTTTCCGACCTCTTGGTTTTCGGCATGTTCACGAACTACGCAGATCGACTTCACACACGTGTAGTACAGTACGCGAAGCCTGGCCCACCAGCTACTCGACCACGTTGGCCGGAGGAAACAAACAGCGCTTCTGCCGCTGGCGCGACACATGGACGCACACTAGACAATCGAATAATCTAAGATGCGTAACATATTGCTAGCCCATTTGCGCCACTACCAGTTCGTAAAAATACGCGTGAATTTTTACTTTTGACTTCACCTTCCGATTTGTACGAATGCGTAAAATTTGTCGAAGAACTACATTTTAACGCGGAGGTGCAAGAGATCGAATAGAGGTAGGACATAGGTAGAATTTATTTGTAAAGATCCATTGTTGACATCGCTCGAGTAAAAAAAAAATGACCGGCTGAAACCGTTGAGAAGTGCGTAACAAATTGTGACAACTGAATCGCTTTACTAATGAAGTAGATATTTAACGTTATTTTTGTTTTCGAAACACTTCTTTTTCTACTACGCGTAAACGTGCGGTCGTGAATAACTGGCGCATGCACCTTGCATGCGCGTCCGCACGCATGCGCCGTTGTAGGGGGCTTGCCTTTCTTGCCTTTCTGAACGGCGTGTGTATTGGTCGTGTCGGCGATCTAGTGCAATTCAGTGCCCCCCACCCCCCGCTGCAGAGTTCCCCCCCTTTTTTTTTAAACGCTCCCTCCCTCGTTCTTCTCGTAGCAATAAGTGTTCGAGAAGCACGGGGTGGGCATCTCTGTAAGCACTGTGTGTTTGGTGCAGTGGATGGATCCTAGTATTGGCTGGTATCAGCCTGAACATTACGGGCCGGCTCTACAACTGTGGAACTCCATCTGGGAAACGCAGCAAGGCTTAGAAACCATGGATCTCAACAACTCGAATCTCCGTGCTCCCGACTATATTCCCCTTAACAGTGCCACAGGAAGCGTTACAGAGGTGAAGAAGAACGTCAACGGACAGAACGAACTGACAGGTGGTGCAGACAAGTTCTACAATCCCACGAAGCGGAAAAGGGAGAATCGTGCAAGCACTTACGCTCTCTATAAGAACCAACACTTGATCAGTCAATATGGCGGCACGCCGTGGAGAAGTGAGCTGAGACACGTTCGTCCAGGAATCCTTGGGTGAGTGGAGGCTTTTGAAGCTAAATTAGAATGTTGACCCATCAGGCGTGCGCTTGTTACGCGTGATAATTGGGCTGTCCGTAATTGCTCTCAATGCTAGTTCGCGTTGTGAATCACGTGATAATTATGATGCGGCTTGTCGAAGAGTGGCTGTACGCACAGTTTAGGATAGCTGAGCGAGCGATTTTGCCGTCACTAGATTTTTACTGCCGTCTGTTACACAGGCCTAAAAATACAACGAAAAGAGCTCACGTTCCACGTCCTTGTTGGCGCATGTTGCGTATCTGTACTTGGCGGTCCTCGGCTGGGAAAAACACGTGCGATTCGACGACCGTTCTCAAGTACAGCCACCAGTGTTAGCCTGGTCATCGCCCAGGCACACATGTCCGAAAACAAGCATCCCTGTTTGTTTTTTAGCTGCTGTGTGTTGTGTGGAGGTGAGGGGCGTTAGCAACTCGCAGAGCCCGGGCCCTAATTTTTTCGAGCCGCACCTTGGGTGACCCCAGGCACTCGCTTCGACCAGTCGTCGCTTACCTGCTGGCCACGCGGCTATGTTTCAACGTGTTCATTAAGGCCTAATTGTAAGAGCGCCAGTATTTCTGAAAAAAAAAAAAACTGCTCGCCAAGAGTGTCCGACCGATGTTCACTTGGTACACGGGGTACTCGATAATCCAGTAATGTATATAATTTTTCTCTTGCTGTGATGTTCCAATGTGAACGATTCACTTGCGCTTCAGTGTGAACATTAACGTTGCTGTTAGCCTATTAGCTTCAGGTCTGATTAGTGCGCTTCAGGTCTGATTAGTGCTCATCGGTTTGCGTGCACTTATTTTATTGCTCGACTTAAGGGATTTTAGATACTGAATACCGGGTAGTGGTGGTGTCAAGGCGTGAATGCCTATCGAAAGCGAAACTTCGCAGATATTGAACACACTCAAGCTTGTGTTCAATGTCTGTAACAATTTATTAGGCACTTTAAGAATAGGGTACCCAAAGTTTTGCGTTAGCCTTTGCTGCCACTGCGCGTGCGTCATACGCTCGCCTCTTGGGTACGCACGTTATATTTAGAAAGTAGCGTACGTGCCCAAGCAATGAAAACTTAATGAACCCAGCTATGAAACTGATTGATAGCCGCCAAGGTAGTATAGACTTGCCCGAAAATGTGCTTCGTAATTAGATGTTAAGTGGCGCTTCTGATGACTCTTGAAACTTGCATACTTGGTCTCGTTTATTGAAAATCCTCTCGTACATTACTGTGTCACGGTGGTTAGTACGCCGTCTGATGCTCACTAGAACTTCCTAGATACTCAACACGTTTGATAGTTTTGTTGAGATTCTGATCAGTTTTTATGGGCAATTGTATAAGCTTGTTGTTTGTTGTCAACTTCATAGCTATTTTAAAGCTTTGTTTGCGTATTTGCACATCTTGTGAAGGTTGGCATTCTGTACCTCGTCTTATTGAAAGGCAGTTTTCGTTTTGCTCTTTCCCGACTATGCTTGAAAATTTTGTTTGCTACTGATTTGCAATGGCACACATCATCTTAGGTAAAGTGTGTTAAAAGAGAAAGCTTCTAATACCTGGGTAAGATTTCCTGTAAAAATCTTGTGTTCACTGGTGCTGAAGGGCATGTCCATATAAAAAGTAAGAAAGACAAAAAAGCATGCCTGTATTCACTTGTCAATTTGTGATAGATTAAGGTCCTTACTGAATATGTCGTGCACTAGGCAAAAAGTTCTCAATGCTCTCTTGCAAAGTAATGAAACCTCATATGAGGTGTATCATAAGCATATCCTCTTTATTATCAGTCTCCAATATTTGTCATACTTGAACTGTTGGCCTGCTCACATACACACATCATGTCTGTATACTTATTTTATTACTAAAAACTGCATAATTTCAAAAAAATTTTTATTGGTTATCCTATAGTGCATATTGCAATCAATTGTAGCTGGTGGGTGTTTGAGGCATATACACTTGGAATGAAGTCTACTAATGTGGATTTGAATGTGTAAACTATCAAGCTTTTAGTAAAAACTCACTGTTCTACTTATTTTGTCACAACATGTCGCTTTGTGCATTTAAGCAGACAGGTAACTACACCTACAGTGATGGAAGTGCTGCTCCAATTGCTCCAAAAGAGGCTGCTCCAAAGTAATTTTTACCTGCTCTGAAGTGACACTAAGAGAACTTTTACCGCTTGATTGACTCATAACGTCCTAAAGAAACTGAAAAGAATCTGTGTGCTATTGTCCCAGAGCGCTGTTACTGGGCAGCATTATCGGGTTTGATCTCATTTGTCCTACAAGAACTGGCATATTAAGCATATAGCTCATTTGACTTTTTTTTCCCCCTCAGCTAGACATGTAGGCTACCTTGGTGGAATGGGAAAATGGGCAGTATTGATTTCATCTCATACCGATTGTCTACTGCTTATTTGGCCTCAGTTATACGGGACTGTGGTTACTTTTAAAATCACCTTGGCTTTTCCGATTGGATTTCTGCCACAAATAGTAGTATTTGAAATCTTGGCTCATTTCACAGCACATTTTTGATTACCTACCTTTGTTTGCTTCATGATATTTACATTGATTATTGCTTGAAAAATATATTTCATAAGAAATATAATGTTTATGAGATGCTTCAACAGTGCTCTGAACTCGCAACTAATGTGTGGCAAATTTAATGTCTACTCCTAAAAACACCAATAGCTGCTTTCAACTAGCATGTTTTTCCTGCTCCAAAGTATGCATCAAAAAGTAAAGAGACACTTTCGTCACTGCACCCATGTAATTTGCCATTCACATTGGGAATTAATATCTTGAAGCTGATGTCGCCCTGGTACTTAGTTCATTATGAATAAGTTTCGTGAATTCACAGGTAACGATTTTCATATTGCATGCAATGTGCTGCAAAGTAATCTAATAAACTATAATTAGCAAATTTTAGCTATATTTAAGTTTCTTTTGCTGGTAATGTTAGTCACCTCGAGAACTTGAGAAATTGCAACCATATTTTTTGTCACTCGCAGTTCTTAATAAAATTTGTCTTATATGTACTTCTAGGTGTGTTTATACATATAAAAAAATGTGGTATATAGCAAGAGGTGATATGTTCTAAAGTTTGAAGATTATGGGGTAATTGATCACTGATTCTGTTGCCATGACTGTGAGTTTATGTTAGTGTATACCTTGCAGTACAGGAGGCACACAGCTTTGTAAGGTCAGTAATGGTAGCAGCATCCCAACTGATGGTGCCAACTCCTGTGAGAATGCATTATGTATGCCTTTATTTATGTAGTATTTTTTTATTATACAAGTTTGGATGTAGTTCTATTTTCTGTGAGTGGCAGAATGAAGAGCCTAATACTACACATTTGTTCTCTTTTTTTTTTGCATTCAGAAGATGCTTTAGGCTAGGGTATAAAAGAGGTAGTGTAGCTGGGTCAATATATATATATATATTAAGTGAAGGGACAGATAACCTATGGTTAGTTGATGGTGGTATAGATTCAGAGGGATGAAAAACAACTAAGGCTGGCAGGGAAGGAGGTGGGGTGATGAAAATAACTATGTGCAGTCATATAATGTAGTAAGCTTACGCAAGAGAAGTGAAATAAAAAATTTGGGAAGCCCTTAATCCTGAACTGGACACAGAATATCCTCATGATATTTTAAATACAGGGAATTATTTTTTTCCCTCCTAGCAATAGCTACAATAACAACTTTACAAAAGTTTGTTGCAATAAGATAAGACAATGTAATGTAGTGACTGTAGGAAGCATATCTGGCAGCCTGAACAGAAGCTGTCAGTAAAAAAAGAAAACATACATGTCAAGATGACTGTGTAGCTTAGTAATGAATGAAAATTGTTATCATGATCCCATAAACTACAATTAGTATGTCAACATGGCTTCTTCTATAAAAAAAACCTAGCACTTATCATTTTCTTGTCCATCTATGGTAACGCTATGCTACATTTTGATGCTACTAGTGGTACATCTGATTGGTACGGTAAACCCCGCATATTAATCAATTAGTTGTACATCTGAAAAGGACAAAGTTAATGCACCATAGTTCACCATAGTTTTTTTTTTTTTACTGCAAAAATTACCAGTTTTTAAAAAAAAAATCAATTATACACACACACACAGTGTTAGCTATGCGCATATGTACAGGGTGTTCCAAATACCACGCAGCACAATTTAAAAATGAGCATCATCATATGAAGCTCTCTTATTGCATATTGTTTCAAGTATACTGTAGAAGCCACTAGTAACTTTTTGTTAGTGAAGTTAATTAGTCCTGATTAGATTTCTAACTCTACATACAAGTACTCACATAATCATTAAAATGTCAATGGGGGTCGTGTAGCCGTGTTTTAATAACATCTAACTACGCTATTTTCAACAACATTCTCGCTTTTTTTTTTCCACTAATAAGGAAAGCCCACAAACTTTGAAAATGACTTGGGACTAGACTGCGGTGTGCATAAAGCCCCTGAATAAAATAAAAGTAATGACAACTATTTCTCCTTTGTCGACGTTCACTCTCTCTTATTTCGACCATGACTCCACCTACGCTGCGCATAGCTAGCAGATGTTCTCCGCGTTCAACAATGTTGTCGCGAAGCACTCGCGCTCGTCAGCTGGTATTTCTATGAGAATTTTTTTCTGTGAAATTATTACTGACTGCCGAAACACGAGAGGACATTGGACAGACTGAAAAACTTCATTGAGAACTGTGTTTGAGCCCCCTCAATCTTTGGGCCACTGAACAGTCCCACACCACATCTACGCAGCCATGCATGCCTTTCGCGCTTTGACATCAGCAGCCCGAATCACTGCAGCGAGCTGCAATGCTGGGTGAGAGGACATTGAAATGTTGCGCTTGAGTGGTGGCTAGAAACAATCGCGCATCACGGCAGCCTTTATCGGACTGCTGGCAGCTCTGGACATCTATCGGTAGGATGACGTGCAGACAAAAAGCGCTTTCCCGAAGCA